GAAATAATTAAAACCATTTCTGTTATACAAAGTTTCGGATACGAGTTAATTACCTTATAGAAAACAGACACATAAATGCTAAAACTTATGCATAAAAGGACAACTGCTTAAATAAATGGTACATAATTTGGTATCGAAATATATTTCTTCTCTAAAAAAGCAATAAATATTTGCATATATATTGTTTTTCACAGTCCGTTTCATTAAAAAAGAAAATGCGAGGAAAATGAGGCATACATATGTATCTATACACAAACATACATATATAAATTTTCGCCTTACCTACATATTTATTGAGTTGTCGAGGAATAACTTAAAATAAAACCTTAGAGATTTCAGAACAATCCGTTTATTTCCTGAATCAGTCATAAAATAACTCTCGAATTAGTAATAATCTAAATTACACAATAGTAGCTCACATTTTTAAACTGGTGAATAATAAATGAATGAAAAGATACGATAATGGGGCGGAAATTTTAGACCGTGTGTTTAAACATATGCGCATATGCAGTGAAGATGATCACTATTAGATGATAACACCATCCAATTAGATGGCCGTAGATTTTATTTAATTAAACATTGATTACAGTCTGGTACTTCAAATCACAGAATTTTTTACAGTAAACCTAAGAACTTTTACGAAAACAGTTCATGCAATGTATATGGAGGGATTCTGAAAATATTAAATCTAAACGTTTTGTACAATCCTTGAATAACGTGACTAAAAAAAAATTACAGTTTGATTGAATTTATCGAGTTATAATATTATGGAAGACCAAACATTATAGTTTTAAAAATACTGAATACTCTTTAATTAGTTAAAAATAAATGCTTATATGTTTATATATATATATACCAAAAAGTGTAGTTTTATTGAATAAGTATTTATTGAATTTATTGCATTATAGTAATAGTAGTATATTATAGTAATATAGAAGACCAAAAATTATGATTTGTAAAATACTGATTATGCTTTAATTAGTTAAAAATAAATGCTTTTATGTGTATAGACAAAAAACATTTGTCGAAGGTATCTGACAACAAATTTACTGGTTTAGACTGTTTTTTTCTGCCTGCTGTCCACTGATATTTAATTTAAGGAACACTTACAAAATTAAATTTGATGGTATTGATGTTTAAGAGTTCCGTAACTTAATGAAATAATATTCGTATTAAATTTACATTTAATACATTGGAAGGGCTTTTTAAATGAAAAATTTGCACATAAAAGGGCGGAATGATTTGTTTTACGTTCATTTTTATACTTACAGTTTTATTCAGAATAATTGCAGCCTTCTTTTATATCCGGCATACTATTTGCGAATATCATCTCGGATAAACATGCTACTTTTATATGTGCATGTAGATACGTATTCAACACAACCTTGTTTACACAATAAGTGTATACACATATACATACATACTCATAATAAAGATATAACTCATAATAAAGAATATATGAAAGATCGGACTATCTCCTAGGAAATGTGAAGAAAAATTTACATAGTTAAGGTGTACAATTGCGGAAATCAAAAACTGAAATTCGTAATTAATTAAAGCGGAATTTCAATTTATTTAATGCTAAATGAATAAAAATATATTTAAAAAACTAAAATTGCTTTTGCTCCACAGAAAGATCCCGATTTTCAAGGGGAATTGGAATCTCTTTATACAATAACCAGCAATTCATAAGGATTGCATTTCCTTGTTTTAGCATTTCTGAACACAATCCTTATTCTAATTGTAAATTTGCAACTCAATATTATAAAAAAGCAGAAGTTTAAATCTTAAATTATTTCAGGAATGCCAAAAAATTTCCTGCAATGAGGATTACATGTATGTACATCTACAAAGATGATAGTAAGAATGATACTACTTAAGTACTCGTAAATGGCAATTCAGAGTGAGATAGAGTAAATGCGATGTTTACTTGCTTTGTTAGTTATCATCGGCGACAAAATCTTGCTAACATACCTAGTATGTCATTCTCAGCACGCTTTTAGTTTCTTTTTTCACTTAAGATTTCATGACATCATGTCCTCTGACGTTTTATTGTAGAGGGTGGTGAAGATCCGTGTTTATGCTCAGAAAAACTTTGAGGTCTTAAGGACCATCTTCAATGCGTGACAAACTTGATTCACTCCTTGCCGGTCGTTTATGTGTCACCGTATCATGAACAGCATGATCCTTCGGATACATGTCTGTATCGAGAAACATGGTGCCCAGAGTGACGATGTTTACTAATTCAGGTTAAATGAAATGACCTGTATCCGGACGATGCACTTTGTATCTCTGTCATGTCTATACATATAGATATGTAACTTACACTGAAAATTAATATATCCACTTAAGTGATAACATCTTTATGCCCACACTGTATATACATACATGCACATAGGTATACACACCAATATATGCAATTTCAACTTCGTCCCTATATATAAATATATTTCGTATATAGACTTTTAAATTTGAACGGTTCCACAGCTCCTTGAATGCTAGCTTCTAGAATCCTAACAGGACATGGACGACCTATCGTCCCGTCGTAACTTCAAAGTACAGTAAATATAAATTCATATAAGGTTAAAATCAACCTGTTCATGAAGTCTGAGAGTTACACTACACGTAGAACAGGTGACAGGTGGCAGCAGGGCCGGACACCCGGACGGCTTTCTAAGATTACTCGGGTGTTGTTCGAACCCTACAACTATCCTTTACAATTATGCTGCAATACACATTTCCCATTGTTTACAGTGGCTTCACTAATTATGCACGGTGACTTGTTTAGGAGTTAATATCAACAATGTTGCAAATGGAAGTAGTACATTGCTTTAAAGTGAGAAAGAGCTTTCATGTATACAGGCCATGGCTAGAAGACTTTGTGGGTACCACTAGTACACAAGTATGTCAGCAGATTCCAAGGCAAACATACTACTATTATTCTGGACGACAAAGGTCCTGCCCGAGCGCCTTTGCCTCGGCAGTACATATACTACACGTAGAATAAGGTTACCAGTGATATTAAAATATTAAATACACAGTTCGCATCTAAATGAGCTTTGACTTTGCTCTATTTCACGAAGCGAATGTGGCTAGTGAAGCTAAAGCCGATAATCAGTGCAAGAGCAGAGAGGTGTAACAGAATAACCGGTCACTGAGAGTTGATAAAAGCTCTCAAGCTCTCTCGCAAATTCAAGAAAGTTACCCTTTAATACGTTAACTAATTTGCATACCAATGGGAGTGAATGGAATTAGAAGTGATAGTAGGGGCAAAATAATAAGATAACTATGTTAATTAGTTTAAAACTGTACAATTTTCCATCAGACATCTTATTATTGAAGTGATAAGATGGGAGAGAGGCTTATTTTTATTGCAATAATCACTACATAATAAATGTTTGGATAAAATAAAGTGATTTGATATACCAAGGTTTCGAATGCTGCGCGTAATACTGTGTAAATAAAGTGTATCGAAATAACACGCGTACGAACAAAACAAGCGTATACTAGTCTTCCTTGAATAACGTAATCTCAAAATAACACAATTAACTGAAAAGAAGCATCGAGGAATGAAATTTAATATGCATATAATCAAGGGTATTAAATAGATGTGCAAAATATACAGGATGCATTTTTCATTTATATAACACTACCTAGCGATCGCATACATTTAATTTTTATGTATTTTGTTTTCAGATTCTACTTTGTTTGTTGCGTTTTATTTAAGCAATTTGTTGATTTAATAGAAAAGATGATTTGTGAAAATTTCACTCTTTCTCTATGTATGTTTGTATAATTAAAATTGAAGTGAATGAAAGAAATTGAAAAAGACCGCAGTATCCAAATAAAAAATTTAAATGTAATTTTGAATTACATAGTAGTATAGAATGTAGATCAAAATGATATAAAAGACAGTAAAAATAACCAGTAAAGTCTAAATGAAAAAATTCTCTCTTATTTTTCACTTATGAAGTGAAAAAAATATTAAACACTGTTACTAAATTGGTAAGAACTTCGTTTTCTGAAAAATTTATTAGCATAACAGAATGAGAATTCCTACACAATTTATAAGTAAATAAAAATAATTTTTGAATCAGAATTATTAGGGAAAAAATTCTGTTCGTTCGTTTTTTGAAGTTTTCAATTCACCAGATTTCCTGATGTTTATTTTTTTTGCAGATCATACATATATATATATTTATTAAAGATTGAGTTAAATTAAGTACAGTAATAAATCGAAATATATATATATATATATATATATATATACTTCCAAGAACACAAAAATCTCTTACGATTTGAACTGTCTTATTTACGTTTTTTACGTCATTTTGATCTATTACATTAAAGTTTATATATATATATACAAATTTAACAGTGGATCAGAATGCATATATACGTATATGTAAGAATAAACTAGAATATATAGAAACTTGACACTTTCGGTAAAATGATATTCTATATAGTCCATCTTATTTTCCTAAATTAATTTATTTAAAGTACTTTTTGCGATATTAAGCGTATTTAATTAAATATTCTTCACCTTTAGAGCTTTCTCTCTGCACACACACGCATATATATGCCTATACAAAACACAGATATATTCATCAGAAAAGAATTTGTAATTTAATCTTCCAAAGAATGAATTTGGAAAAGAATATAAGTGCAACTATAACTATGGAAGATAGAGTAAATATCATTAGTGCATGCTGTAAGCATATTTCATCTCGCAATCGTATTAACTATTTATGAAGAGATACCGAGATTTTGTTCATCAAATTAGAGATTACAATACAGTTATGTTTGATAAGAAAAGAGAACTTAGAAAAGAAAATCGTAGAAGCACTTAATTCTTTTGTGAATTCACTCTTTATGTGTCAATGTGATAAAGATTATCTTTGATTGTGTATATTTTATATTCAAGACTTAATCTTTGCATGCATGAGGATTCTACTTTTCGTGCTGAGGTAAGACTATCGTATTTTTTTTTCTTCTCATAGACCAAATTATGTGAATCGGACTTCATTCAATAAGTACTGGAGTGAAGTTACTGCTTCAGAACTCAGGTAAGAAATTTTTATTTTATATCATTCATTTCATGTAATAGAATAATCGTTGTTGTTCTTTTAATAAGAGACTGAAAAATATGCGCATTATCATGATCCAACTGTTTTACAGTTTAAAAATATCAAAAACGTTTTTCTACATTAATGTAAATAGCTCTGAGAATATAGACGTATTCGTATTAAAAGACTTATGAATCCTTCTCATTAAATGGAAATCGACTCTAGATCTCCTCAAAAACTGCCTAAAGACGTCTGTTGTATCAGTTACATCTTAGAAGCCATCTTTAAGGTCAATATATAATCTTAAGGTCAATATTCTTCAGTTTTATTTTACAAACGAAATACTTTGCAAGGTATTTTCTCGCTCCTTGCCACGCGTTTTCGCGGTGCAACTGGAAAGCACGTCCAGATAGCAGCTAGAAAGTCCGGAGTTAGTGTACTGGCGAAAGTACTGTACACTCTTCATGTTTCCTGCTTCCATAAAACTAATGACTTCAACTGGGTTGCTATGCACCTTCTTTCAGGAATCAGATCGTTGAATGTTCGAAATGCAGAGAAGATCAATAGTTAGACTAATTGAATTACTAATTCATTCCCATTCGTAGATAGTAGATGTTAAATTATTATAAGTTTATTTCCAGAACTTTCTTAATAAAGGCAGTAACAGTAATATTACTGAAATAACCATCTTTTGAAAAGCTCAGGAAAGTAAAACCTAGAAAATGATAACAAATTGGAATTCAGGTCTGAAATAGATAATGTATACACGTCAGAATTACGTACAAAGGAAATTATTGCCAAATGTTTAAATAAAAATAAAAATACCAAAGCTTGAAGAATACGGAAATAATAAAAAGGAGAGAAACTAAAATAGAAAAAGAGAGACGGTGCGTACTAGGTCTGAAACACAGGAATAGACTAAAATCTGATATTGCTGGAATCAGATTGGATTTTTTATTTACTTATTTATCACCACTGAGCAGGTTTCTGACCTAAGATGTATACCAAAGAGAATAAACGCCTGCTCAGCGGAAGAAGATCAAGTGCAATCCAGCAGCCGCCACCACCAGGGTATGCCTGACAGATCGAACAATACGTTTTTTTAAACAAAATCAGAGAGCACATAGAGTAGCAATATTTCATTAGACAACTTGCATTCATAATTCAGAGCTATAAGTTCAGAGCTATAAGTTGCTATAAGTTCTGTAAGTTAAGAGCTATAAGTTCAGCCATTCAGAGCTATAAGTTGGTACTTAATATAATAAAAACAAAGTTGCTGATCAAATTTTACATTTATTTGTAAAATTGTAATATAATAAACAGATTGGATATAATTTTGCCGAATATTTGGTTCTTACTGTCTAAATTCCTCTCAGCTAATAAGGTAATCATATCCTATAAAGGTCTGATGACCCGCTTTCTAAGAATAATTTTTAGTTTAAATTAGCTTTGAAAGAAATATACTTTCTTTTTTCCCAACAACATTTATTTTGTTTTTAAGTTTCAATGGAGGAAAATGTTGTCTTTCTTTCAAGTTTTAAAACTTTATTTTATGGTCAGCATGTGTTTTTTTTTATTTTACTAAGAGAAAGAAACAAGTCGTTACAATATAGATAAAATCATTAGATTAGAAGTTAAAAAATTAGGAGATTAATTATTTATGCTTCTCATAGTAGCAATGAAACGCCTAAGACTGCTATTACAATCTTACCGACTCGCAGATAATACATTAGTTAGGAACTTCATATACCTAGATACAAATCGGAGTCTGAAAAGTATCATAAAAAATCGAGGCATAGCAGTCAGCGGTTTTATGTCTAGTTTTTACATTCTGGTGAATACTGCTCTAAATGTACGCGTTGTGAATGAAGCTGCTTACAAGAAATTTCACTTTCGAGCCATATTGTTTCGCCCTTGTGATTTCAAAGCAAGTACATTTATAGAGACATTTCTGGAATTTTTATATTCTATTATATTATATTTTATATTCTGACATATTTCTGGAAGCAGGCATGATGAAAAATGAGCAACCGCATTCGCCGGGAATCGAACCGCGGACCTCTGGAATACGCGTCCAGCGTGCAGACCACCGCACTATGAAGGCATGTTAAGAAGGCGAGAGAAATACCTTATATACTCCCCCTTTTAAAGGGAGACTGGGGTTTTTAGGGGACCCTGCCGCCAAATCCTGGGGTGTGGAGAATCATCATCCACCACCCTTTTAGTTCGGGCGCCACTGTAGAGACATTACGTATTTTTGGATGCAGTAAAGTTGAAAAATGAGCAGCTGTTTTCGCCGGGAATCCAACCGCGGACCTTTGGAATACGCACCCAGCGTGCAGTCTACCACACCACGAAGGCATGCCAAGAAAGTGGAAGAAATACCTTATACACCTTATACATTTTACTCAAAAGTTAGTACTGTACCTTTGTTGATGATTCGAGTTTATTACAAATCCAATTTAGCAAGCCCGTACTTTTAAAGTTATAAATAGTTCAGAATTTAAGGCTCAGATTGTACCATTTTTTAGCAAATTTATTTATATTGTAATTTTTAGCAAATTTATTTAACACGGCAAATCTTATCATGCGAAAGTTTGTCATGAAGAACGGTTATTTATAGATGTCTTATATTTTTACAGCAGAGATACTATTTTTGTCTTACATGCATTTATATTTGTTAATTCGTCATCTAAGACGATGCAAAAGTTTGTTTTTATTGCTAAAATTTTGCTTTCTTTGTGGGTTACAGAGAGTAACAAAGGAGAACAGGTTTCTGTTAGAAATAAAACTTATTCTCTATTAAGGCTGAATACTGCAGAACCCATAAAAGTGTCACGGAATCATGTTTTTCTCAGCAAAAGAAGATGAATGTTTTGATTCAAAAGCTAGGATTCAAAAGCTGAAAACTCTTTGGCCGTTCGAAAGCATATATAATTGAACTTGTGTATAGGAAGGGAAAAGGTTGTGAAGCCTTATTTATTCGGTTTTGTCAATATCATCTGAACAGAAATCCAATCTTTTGATCGCTGTGTTTAAAAAAAGAAGCTGCTGAAAAACATGTTCCATTTTATATAGTTAGCTGGGAGAAAAAGAGAATAGATATAGTTCTGAAGATATCGCATATGAAGTGAAACCTGCACGAGACACCCATCTATGGTTTCTGATGATTTTCACTTCTGTGGAAGTAATCGCCATAGAAACGTGTTATTCAATAATATTCAGTTTTATGTTTAAGAAACAGTAGTTATTTTCAGAGGTGACTGTCTACGGAAGGTGATTACTAGGAGAAGTTTCATTCTGTTTTATGACGGAAGTGTGCTATTTGTGTGCGAGCAAAAGTTATGTAAGGTTGGATAGCTTTACAGGTAGATAAAAAATTTATGCAACTAACTGAAAAGTGAAATTATTAGTAAAATCAGTAATATGAATGGGATAAAAAGTAGCTAAAAATTGTATACAGGTAATCTGCGCTGTTTGAATATCTGTCTTTCAACAGTTTCCTTTTACAATCCCTGATATTGATAATATACATCCATATATCCGAAAACGCAATTCACTCTTTTCACTTATTTTCTTTTCTAAATTTTAAGATATGCATTTTTACTTCTATTAAATAACGTTTATGCATAAAATATAATATTTAGGTTCCGTGTATATTCAAAATTTGATTTTGAACATTTCCAGTGTTTCTGCAGGGCTTTGGACAAATTTGTTAAATAAACAGGAGTTGCCTGTATTAGATAAGAGCAGACTATTTTTATAAGTTAGTACACCATTTATATATGCAAGTGACATATTGGTTGGTGTACTTGATTACGGCAAAGCATATAAGAGCTATATGCCTAATGTTAAGGATGCTTTCGTGTAAGATTTTCTGAAGAAAATTTACTCGTATTTACGGTACAGGGAAAAGCAACAAAAATGCCCATTCAGAAAACCCGTTCGCCTAGAATCAAATAGACTCAGCGACTTTATCGCTCGGCCGATGAACAGAATTTATAATTTGTTGCAGTAACATAAAAAATAACTGAAGGTACATTATTCTCATTGAAGGAAAACAATGTTTCGAAAGTCGGTATCATATTGAGGTTACCTACAAGAGGAGCAGAAGAGTGTAAAAAACAATGAAATGTTATCTAATCTTTTTTATATCCTTGAAACTTTATATTATACAAGGCTACTAGAAATGTATGATTCATTAAAATAATCCTAAAGAGTAGAATGAAATATGTATTCCATTTAACATTCATTAAAAAGAAATCAGACTATAAGCATCATAAAGCTCAAAGAAAATTTCAAGAAGTTTGGCTGGAGTATGAACGAGTAAGGTACCAATCACAGGAGTACGAAGTCTTCGCCTTGGACAAACAAAATGGATGGATTTAAAAGAAGTTCATAATATTCTTCCTTCAATACTATTTCAAAATAAGCTAAGAATAATACATAATCTTTGTCTGGTTGCAAATGAGGAATTCAAAGCACAAGGGGCATAACTCCATTTAGGATAGTTTTGAGAGAATGGTACATTTATAAAACTGCAGTAAAAATAAATAAAAACGCCATGGAAAGTTTTATTATCTTATAGTATATTGTATATCTTACAGTATAGTATATCTTATAGTATATGCATCAAATATACAGAAATATTATTTACCATCAGGTCATATTAAAGGAAGTCTCGGGTTGCTTAATATCGGGTAGTGAACTTGGTGATCAAAATTTCAGCATAATAATAGCATGTAATTTTTTCAGCATAGTAATTTTTGACTAAAAATATGCTCATCATTTCCATCATCAGACACCTGATGCTCTGAGCTATATGAGGGACTAGTAAGCAAAATACTGAAGAATAAAACGATACATAGGAGCAATATATATTGTGGAGCACGAAACGCCATATTATTTAGTTACCCCATAAACGTTTTAATATTATATATTGACTACTGAAAACATGTACATGGGTACTTTTGTTCGTGGAAAATTCAGCAGATGTCAGG